CTTTGACTGGCATGCCTGAATATATGGAATGCCCTGAAGATGTTGATGTGCCACAGGTTGATTTTGACCTATGTCTCATTCAAAGCAGAGCCATTCAGATGATTCTCAATACCTTCCTTCTGAAGGAAGATATATTTTTCATATTCTTTTATTTAAGGCCTGTTTTTAGAGACAAGAAAAAGACAGTGGGGGAAAGGGGAATCAAACCTTAACTGAGAGAAATACCCCACAGTCATTTTCTATCCTGCAGAATTATATGACAGAAAATGACAAAAGATGGTAACCAGGGAATAACTTGTCAGACTCAGAACAGACATCAGCTGTGGATTTGAAATTCTTCCAAATATGTTCCTGTCAACCTTTCTATGTTACAGATCTAAAATTTAAGTATGGTCCGTAGGCAGAGCTATGCCAGATTTCAGTTTCAGACAGGGTTTGCGTGAGCTGCTTTTTCTTTTTTATAATAATATTTACTTGTCTAATGATTCTTTACTTTACCAAATGTGCTCAAACAGTGAGCTATTTGAGAATACATAGATTTCAGGATGTAATAACACATATATCCATTCTAACAGGAGCAAATATTCTTTTTAAAATTACTGTTTGTAATTTGAGATTTGCTGGCTATAACTTAGCAATTTCAAGAGAGATTTATTATTTCTGGAATAAGATTTAAAAAAAGCTCTCTTTTTATTTCACTGTCATTTGAAAAGATAATTTAAATTAGACACTACTGAGACCTTTTCTCCCACCTCCTCCCCTCCATTCCCACGGGGGACACTTGGCAGGTCATTGGTTCTCCTCTTCTCCAAGCTCAAGCAGGGCCATGATGGGGTAGAGGGCCTGTGAGCAAGAAACACACTGGGGCCCATCCACTGGGAGGAAAAAAAAAAACTCCCCCCACGCTTGTTACACTGGCAGGAGTCTCTTACAACCTACCATCTGGAATCCAGCTGCAGCAACTCCACAGCCAGAGGCTCAGGCACTCTGTACTGAAAGGAGGGGGGGGGGGAAGAGAGAGAGAGAGAGAGAGAGAGAGAGAGAGAGAGATGCACGGATAAAGAAAGGAGGAAAACTGAAGGAAGATAAAGAGAAATGAGAGAAGAAAAGGAAAAAGTACAGCTGGGATCCCCAGCAAGAAGAAACAGTGATAGGTAAAAAGTAGGACCTCAGAAGCTGCCACACATGGCTACTGCAGAGGCAGAACACTTCTGGGAAGGAATATTGTGGGTAGGCCCTCTTAAACTGGCCAACTTTGACAGCCCTGTGTAAGCTTGGAAGTCCCTCCTCACCCTCACTCCCTTCACCTACATACAAGCTGCTATCACGTGGAGGCTCCAGCATGGTCAGCCATCAGCAGGGGAAGCACAGAGAAGGAAGGTAGAGAGGTCACCAGGTTGCCTGAAACCAGGCTCGACAGCCAACCACCTCTTATGTTATGAAGAGTCGTGTGATATTTGACATTCTTCTTAAAGCCCCAACTCTTTTAGCCACATGATTATGAGAATCACAGCTTCCGTAAAAAAAAAATGCTTAGCCCTTATGGCTGCAGAAAGAAACTTGAAAACAAAACTTTAAATGCTCAAAAACCAGAAGACAAATAAAAAGTCCATCTTTTCTGTTAACATATCATGATTTTTAAGCCAATCTCATGGTTTTGGGGCCTGATACTTGAGGTTGGCAATACTGTCCCTGTGCCAAAGAAGAGTGACTGCTGCTGGCTGTAAAACACTCTGTTGAATGTTGGAGATGAAGGGGATGAAGATAAACGGGATACATACAAAATGGGAATGGACTGTCAAGGAAGCAGTATTACAGAAAGAGATCTGGGGTTATTTAGCCTGTGATCTACTATATGAGTCAACAATGTAATACTGTTCCCCCCTCCCCCCCCCCCAAAAAAAAGAGCGAATATAATTCAGGGATGTATCAGCAAGAGTGCTGTGAGCAAGACACGAGAAGTAATTCTTCCACTCTACTCCACACTGATAAGGCCTCAACTGAAGTATTGTCTCCAGCTTTGGGAACCACATTTCAAATTGGAGACAGTCCAGACGAGAGCAATAAAAATTATTAAAGGACTAGAAAACATGACTGATAAGGGAAGATTGAAAAACTTGGGTTTGTTTAGTTTGGAGACAAGAAGGCTGTGGGGGGACATAACATTTTTCTAGTACATAAAAGGTTGTTACAAGGAGGAGGGTGAAAAAATTGTTCTTTTAATCTCTGAGGATAGCACTACAACCACCTTGCACTGATCTAATGAGTTGCAACGTTATAATTGCAACCCCCGTTTCATGTTTGCCCTAAGTAAGTCCCCAACTTGCTATAGGGAAGGCAAAACCCGCCCCTTACCTTGTCTTGGCCTATCTGGCGGTGAGATAAAAAGCCTTTCCCAGCCCCCCAAGAAAAGAGCAACTAACATAATGCCCACAGCAAATCATAACAAAACCTGATATTTAACTACATCCACAGGAGGGACACTGGGTGCTGCTTTGCCTGGTCCAGGTAAAGGTGCACTTTTCCTGCACCGGTGTGGACCTGCATAGTTTCCTCCTCTCTTCTGGCCACCTGGGAGGGGGAATGGGTCAGTGTTCCCATGATAACCTGGTTTAACGCTATCGCAGATAGTCAGTCTGGCTCTCTACCCCTTAAATTGGCCAAACACCTTTTCCTGCAAGCCAAACACTGCTTAACGTGTAGTGAGGTCATTGTCCCATGCCTCCTACAGTCAACCAACAAAGCCATCCATTTGTCAGCTTCTTGCAAAAATGTCTCTATACCTTTTTCCATCCCTTCCCTGTACTGCTCTGTAAATCGTCAACCTTGTTGTCCAAATTTCTCCTCAAGACCCACCTCTGACACAACACATAGGTAATCAGTCAATTAATGATGGCTAGGCTGATGGACTGAAAGAGACAGTGGCACTTACATTGTCTATTTACAATGAAAAAAATGTAAATTTTTATAAAAATTGTATATATTTGATTAATCTTTCTCTGCTCCCTTCCCCCTACACTTCATAAGTGACTTCTCATCTTAGATTCTAAGCTCTGAGAGTGAGGTACCATATCCTTGAATGTGTTTTTCTAGAACCCACCACAACAGAGCCTCAATCCTGACTGGGATCTGTGTTATATTTAATATAAACATTAAACAACAAGAATCATGACAAAATTCAAATAGTACTGGTTTAAATTCTATACATTATGCATTAGAAAAGTAAATATGTAAGACAATATGAGAAGATTATGGAATCTGAACAAAGAAAGAAAGATTAAAGCTATACATACTCCTGGGAGAATTCTACACCAAAAAAATTAAAAATCCTGTGAACAATATTTTAAAATTCTGCAAAATTCTGCATATTTTATTTGTCAAAATAACACAATATAGTCATGCCAGTTTAAATTATTTTGGTAATTTATTTCAAAACTGTCAGCAAGTATGTCTGTAACAATACAAACAACAAAAAGATTCAGAAAATGTTTTTTGACAAATAAATTCCTTACTAGGCCTATTAATACAGATCTCTGAGTAATAATTCATTTAAACTACAGTACAGAAACACATTTCCTACACCCCTCAGAAGCAGTGCAAAGGCTTGGGGGAGTCAAGGATTACAGAGGAGCTGATGGAGAGGGAAGTAATTGTTGGGAAGGAGCCGGCATGTGAACTTGGAGGGTTGCTGGGTGTGACTGGGAGAAGTATGGAAGTTTTGGGGTTTTGAGGGGGACGAGTTGTTAGGGAGCCTCCCCCATGCAAACCCTGGCAGATCCCTAGCCTCTCTCATTGTCAGGCACATCTGCCCCTGTTCCCATGTGTCCCTGTGCCCCTCCACCATCCCCATGTGTCCCTGAATCCCCACTCATCCACCCCCTCCCCCATATCCCCACATTCCCACTCAGTCCCCGTCCCAGTCTGTCCCCCTTCCATCAGCCCTTTTGAACCTCAGTCTGTGACCCCCCAGCAACCCCATGTGCCCCATGCTGTTCATCCCCCATATCCCATGCCTCCTGACCTGGCCCTACAAGCAGGGTGCTGTGAGGAACCCAGCCGCTTCTCTTCCCTATCTGCAGCTGGGGCAGCTGTTCTCTGTTCTGATGCCACAGCAGCCCCTTGTGGGCAAAAGGCATACTGCACTCCGGCAGAATGTATTTTCTGCAGAGAAAAAAAATTCAACACAGGACATGAATTCTGCACATGTGTAGAATCGCAGAATTCCCCCAGGAGTATACAGAACATAAAAAGTAACACAAAAAGAAGGTCCCCAAAACATAAAAGCAAATATGCATTTTCAACACAATAAAGAAACTGCCTTCCAGAATAGAAAAATGAAGATGCTGGAGAATTCCATTTTACAATTTTATAGCATACGGACAAACAAAAAAAGGAAGGGGAAAAGGTCTTCCAGGGCCTCTAAATATGCCAAAACAACTGGTCACCATGCAGACCCAAAGGCAGGAAACACACTTAGGAGAACAACATCCAAAGACTAGAAAGAAAAAAAAACTTTTCTTTCTTACATTGTTATGCTAATTCACAGCACCAGCTGTCAGCTCTTTGCAACTAAGAAATATCGTAATTTACTTTATTGAACAAATCTCCTTATACTCCACTCACTGACGTTCTCTTTTTCTATCTCTACTAAGAGCCTGAAGTCAATGTTACCTTTGCTACTGACTTAGTATCCGACCCTATACACATAGTAACCTACCTCAGAATTCCATACCACACTCTATATAATAATCTCTCTACGTAGCCTTGCAAATTGGAAGAGACTCTGCAACTCAGTATTCTGACATCAAGTAAACAAAGTATCTCAAGAACTACTTTCCTTTCATTCTTATATTACTTTCGCTTCTTTCCTTAGATGAATGATTTTTCAGAGACTGTAGCCTTACATAGAGATTCCATCTAGTTTCTTTCATCTGTAACCTATGTATGTCATGTTTCAGACCATTTGTAAGGCATACGCACCACTGTATAATTTACTTTACCTGATACAGCATGACAGGCTCTATGTTGTATCCTAACATATTGGCAAACTCCTTAGCAATAACTGTTTTGCCACAGCCCTATAAAGTAAAAAATAAAATAAAATAAAAATTAAGGCATTAGATTTAAAATACCTTGCAAGGAGGAAAAAAAAAGAAAAGTTTACAGTTCTTACTTTTCCGCCTATCAAACACATATCCTTAACCATATGTGACTGCATCATTTCTGCCAACAGCTGCTTATGGCTGGAAGTCTTTATGAAAGCGTCTGATCCAGAACACAGTTTTAATGGTCGAGTCCCAGCTGGGACCTACAAGGAGAAAAAAGATAAACAAGTTATATGAAAGTGGTTTAGGCTCGGGGGCAGATTGGTTTACACTGGGACAGTAGCCCTGTAACTTTTCACTGGTGATTGCATTCTTGTGCTCCAGAATCTAAATCTTTTTTTAAAAAAAAAAAGTTGCCTTTATGGCTTGTGGTTGCCTCCCCCCTGCAAAAAAAACCACCCATGAATAGGAATCAAATGGAAATCAATGCAATGGTATTTGGTTTGGTTTGCAGGCAACATGAATCAATAGTCTCGAGAGGACTCTGACTCACCTCAGTAGGGTATTAACACTGAAACCCAATTACAAAGTGAACACTAGAATCATTTATTGCAGATCAGGGGGTAAGAAAGAAGAGAAATGATCCTATGGTGAAGATATGAACAATCCACTTGGAGGGAAATCTCACTCCGGTGTTATAAGTGGGCAGAGCTTTGCAGAATAGCAACACTTGTTTTTCCTCTAGTTTAACCCCTGCTTAAGCTACTAAATTCTGTTGCTCCTTCCACACACACACTGGTCACTGCTTCCCCTTCAAATTCCTCCTCTACTCTTGTTCCCAAAGAGGCTGTTCATTCCTCAGAGAAACTCCTCAATCAACTCTGAGTCCACTCCAGTACCTAATGAAGCTAACTATTTCCTTCAGAGCAGCTCTCCAATCAGCTTCTCATAGATTCTACCATAGTTTGTTCCTGCTCTCCAATCTCCTTCTTCACCTCCATTGTACAAACTCTCTGAGGCCGTCCCTCCCCAGTGCGACTCAGAACTCTCTCTGCCTCCAACTAACTCTCCTCTATTACATAGATACCTCAGTGTCACTGAATTCAATCTCTACTTTAAACTCAGATCAACATGTGTGTCTATAAAAAGTGCCTTATTTCTCTACCCAACAGACCATAAACTTCACTGGAAGAAAGTCAGACTAACTGTATTTGATGTCAGTAATATGAAGACTTTTTCTCCGTTTTCTGTTTCAACATCCTGGGTTGGAATAATATTACCAAGCACATTTTATTTGATGTGGTGGACAAAAGGAAAGAAACTACTATTGTTTTTATTTAAAGATATAGTGAAAAAAATGATTCTTTCAGAAAAACAAAACTATATAGAAGATAGCCACAAGAGCATCACAAATGCTTTGTATTATGCTATTCCATGGCGCAACGCAAAATAAGAAATCAAGAAAGTACTTTTCCACCAACACTTTAGTAATTGATTAAATAAATAGGTCATGTCTCTGAAAAAATAACCACATAGAAACGTGCACAAGTTACCTAAAAATAAAGCCTTACTTTTCCAGTTCATAAATTACATTTGCTAAATATTACCATAAAAAGTGGATATTCACTGAGGCTCTCAGTCAAATTCCTTATCAACATAGAGCATCAAAATGTAGGTGGGAGTCAACAGAAAGTAGCATAACAAATTTGCGGTAGTGATATGAAACCAAGAATATAGCGTAGGGGTGGGCAAACTACGGCCCGCGGGCCAGATCCGGGCCACAAGTCATTTTAATCCAGCCCTTGAGCTCCCACTGGAGAGCAGGGTCTGGGACTTGCCCTGCTTCGGCGCTCCAGCCGGGGAGCAGGGTCAGGGGCCGCTACATGCAGCTCCCAGAAGCAGCCATATGGCTCCACTCCAGCTCCTACATGTAGGGGCAGCCAGCTCTGCATGCTGACCCCACCCCAAGCGCCACCCCTGCAGCTCCCATTGGCCGGGAACCTCAGCCAATGGGAGCTGCCGGGCCGCCTGGCCACACCTCCGCATAGGAGCCGGAAAAGGGACATGCCCCTGCTTCCGGGAGCCACTTGAGGTAAGCACCGCCCGGAGCCTGCACCCCTGAGCCTCTCTCTGCACCCCAACCCTCTGCCCCAGCCCTGATCCCCATCCTGCTATCTGAATCTCTCGATACCAACCCAGAGCAGCCTCCTGCACTTCAAACCCCTCATCCACAGCCCTACCCCAGAGCCCGCACCCCCAAGCTGGAGCCTGCACCTTTTCCTGCACCCCACTCTGCTGCCCCAGCCCAGAGCCTCCTCCCGCACCCTGAACTCCTCATTTCTGGCCCCACCCAGAAGCCCACACCCGCAACCAGAGCCCTCACCCCCTCCCGCACCCCAACCCCAATTTTGTGAGCATGCATGGTGTATCATGCAACTTTTATTCCCAGATGTGGCCCTTGGGGCACAAAGTTTGCCCACCCCGATATCGCTTGTTGAATCTGTGAATCATTACCTGGAATTTCACTTCTTTTTCAGCAATCTGGAGAATTACATCAGCCTGTAAGGTCTTGCTTCCATGTATTCTTTCCACTTTTTTAATCCTACTGGGAAGCAAAGGGCTTTCTGAATCTTGGAGCTCAAAACGCTGTAAAAATTGAGAAAGTAGTAATTATTTAACAAAGTGCTGTGTTTTTAAATATTTCCACTGAAAACATGGCAGAAATTGATGCAAGACTAATTTCTTCTGAAGTTCAATATCCATTTGCTGAAAGAACCTTAATACTGGAAAAGTTAAAATGGACCTTTTAAGATGCTAACATTGGTATGTATCTATTAAGTGTTCTCTATTAAACTATTAGCTTGCTGCTCCTCTTGTCAAACAAATTAAACTAAGTCATGAGCTGGAACAACAGAAATCTGTGAATTCTGAGAAATCCATGAATTCCAGATCTTTTATAGAATTTTCTGTTATAGAGATTTTAATGTTTCTTTTCCAAATTAAAAAAAAATCTAGGTTATTCTGACTGCAAGATAGCCCTATTGATATAATTTCCCACCGCTGACTTGTTGATGTTGAAGCCAGAGAGACTGAAATAAAGCTCCAAGCCTCCAGCACTTATGTTACCACACCATTTATCTTTGAGGACTATTATGACCACTTAACATCCAGCTTTAAAAAAAAAAAAAATTACGCATCAAGTTAAGATGTTTATTTAGTTTGATAGCCTTGTGTGTAATTACAGTTGAGGATTCCCTACACACAAGAAACTTTTATTATATAGCCTTTAATAGGCCAAGGAAAAAATTGCCTTTTGCCCCTTTTATCACCACCTCTGCCCACCACCACCCTCCATCACTCTACGCTGTATGCAGGAGGCGTGAAATTTTTTTGCTAAAAACGGTGGGGTTTGAGGTTTTTTGGTTTGTTTTCATCTTATCTGTTTATCTGGGTGGAGCCTGGGGTTATATTAGAAATTCAGGTCTTCTTGTGCTTGAAAAAGTTATGGTGTCACTCTATTGACATCAAAGGAGGCAAAAGAGTGAAAGCTAAGTAATAGAGAGCAAGGGATTTTTAGTCAGATTTTTTAAACTACTGTTTTTTTCTTAACACCTCTAACTCTACTGCCTAATGAACACTTACAAGAGAGGATATGTCCATGTGTAAGATTCAACACGCCCACACACATGCACACACACTTCAGTAAGGGTGTGAGCGCTCACCACACACATCCGAAGGCTTGTCTACACTTAAAATACTACAGTGACACAGCTGTACCACTGTAAAGCTTGAACGTAGATGCTACCTATGCTGATGGGATGGATTCTCCCATCCTTGTACTTAATCCACCAGGAACTTAGGTCAGCTTAACTAAGCCACAATGGGATGTGGATTTTTCATACCCCTGACAGATGTAATTAAACTGACCTAACTTTCTAGTGTAAACCAACCCTAAGATACCCAAAAAGTCCTCCCGTAAAACCTGCTATTTCAGAGGTAAAAAACAAGTAAAAAACCCAACCTACACTTATTTGGGAAATGATTTTTCGTCTTTTTTCTACATAATCAAGAAGCAAAAAGGACCCTAACTGATTTTTAAAAACTGGTTCCAGAGCATCTTAAATTTGGCTGGCCATATTGGCCATAGCCTCATGTTCCAAGCAGGTGAAAGGATATTCCATAGGAATTAGGTTATGAAGGTTCAGAATTCAAATATCATGATAAATATCTGTCTGGCAATTCAGATAATGATGAAGATTGCTGCTGTGATGAAAACATTTGATGCAGTGTTGTTGTAGCCATGTTGTGTAATATCTTTTATTAGACCAACTTCCATGGTGAGAGAGACAAGCTTTCGAGCTCTGCGTAATCTTGACTCTTTCACCAATAGAAGATGGTCCAGTAAAAAGATACTACCTCTCCCACCTTGTCTCTTGAAAACATTAGAGTAAGCTTCACGCTATTTTAGGCACATTCAATTGCTTTTATTAAAAGTGTGTTGCAAAGAATATAAAAATCTATGTATCTTTATTTGTACAAGATACCATAACATTGCAAATTAAGGTTAGAAACACAATTATTTTTTGTAACATAATCAGACATATACTTTGGCTCTTCACTCTCAGATTCAAATTCTGGCCTAAAAGACTACAAATATTTCATGTTTAAATGTGAACTTTTTTTAAAAAAAGCATAAGTGAACTTTAGCGTAAAATTGCCAAAAATTCTATTTTTATTTTAACAGCTGAACCAATTTCAATCACCACCAAACACTGGAAGAAGAATAGAAAAAAGCTGAGAATGTGCACTCTGAGTTTCATCTTGAACTAAGATTTAAATTGGCAAGTTAGAGACCCTGATCCAAAGTTAACTGAAGTAAACAAAAAGACTCCCATTGAGTTCGATATACTTTGGATCAGGTCCAACGCTATTTCCACATGCATTGCTGATAGACTCTTATAATTACAGCATCATTTCCAGGTGCAGTTATAACAAGAGAAGGAAACATTTTATTTCTTCACATTTCTCAATACAACTATAGATGGCTATCTAATGCTCTGGGTGCTAGCAAAATAAATTAAAAATCACAACATAAAGAAAGTACTTCCCACAAATATAGTAAAGTTTCAATCCTCTGTTTCAATCATCTGATGAAGTTTCAATCATCTGATGAAGTGAGCTGTAGCTCACGAAAGCTCATGCTCAAATAAATTGGTTAGTCTCTAAGGTGCCACAAGTACTCCTTTTCTTTTTGCAAATACAGACTAACACAGCTGTTACTCTGAATCCTTCAATCATTACTCAAAAAATTAACTGAAATTAAAGAGAATACTGACTATGTAACAGATAAAGCTCAGAATGGTTACACACCACCAAATCACATACAAGAATAAAGTAACCAACTCCTTAAGCACCTACCTATATAACGTGTAAGAGAAAAAACTGCATTATTGTTTGTGACTTCAATCTGAGTAACATAAAGCTGGAGGTTAGAGCTGGTAGGGAATTTTTCAATGAAATTTCTTTTCATCAGAGTATAGGTTAATAGAAACCAAAACTTTTCACAGGAAATGGTCAGTTTCAATGAATTTCTTGAATCGAAAAAATGTTGAAAATAGTTTCAGAATGTTTTGTTTTGACATTTTATACATGAAAAATTCCAGTCTTCCAGTTCAAAATAAAGTTCTGTATCAAAATCTAAGCTAATTATACTAAAAAATAAAAATGGCCAAAACTGAAACATTCTGATTGATTTGAATTAATTATTTTTTTCCTGGATTTTTCAGTTCACAAAAATTTCCAAGATTGATTTTTTGTCTGAATTAGAAACAGGAAAAAAACCATTTCCTGCCCAGCTCAACTGGAAGTCTCATGCTACTACTAATAGTAAAACATCTTTGGAATTTCTATGTAGTATAAATGACAATTACCTAACTCACAAAGCATTGCATCTAACATAAAAAGAATTCTATATTAGACCTCATCTTGACAGATAAAGAGGAAATGATCTTAGAACTAAAAGTTAGTGGTTGCTTTGGTGCAAGTGATCATGACTTAATTATATTTGTTATGTGCAAACAGAATAAAGTTCCAACCAGTAATATTTATACAGGGTGCTTTTAAAAGTACTAGTTTCACAAAGCTGAAAACAATTATGAGCCAAATCAGCTGGGAGAATTTAAACAAAAAAAAATAACTGTTTATTGAGAGATGTTGAAATACATTTTACTGAATTCCCAAAAAATCACAACTGAGGAAGAACACTACACAGGTTAAAAACCAGACTGGCTTAAGGAAGCGAAAGAAGCAATAAATAAATTTTAGAAGTGGAAGAAAGGAAATGTTGATAGCAATAAATACAAATTAAAAGCTAGAAATTGTAGAAATTGATAAAGGAAGCAAAAGGACACAAGGAAATATCTACAACTAACAGAGTTAAGGAAAACAAGAAATGTTTTTTAGTGTATTATGGCAAAAGGACTCTTATGGTAAAGGTTCGTTATGAGATGGAAAGGGTAAAATGGTCAATATGCAGAAAAGGCAAAAGTGTTCAATAAATATTTCTGTTCCATATGTGGGAAAAAGCCAGATGTATGCATATCCTATGATGAAATACTTTCCATTCCAGCATTAACTAAGCAGGATATTAAATACACACTACTAAATTTAGACATTTTAAAGTCAGCAGGTACACATTACTTATATCCAAACGTTTTAAAAGACCTCCCCAAGGACCTCTCTGAACAGTTAATATTGATTTAAATAAATCTTGGAAAACTGGGGAAGTTCCAGATGATTGGAAAAACATTGTGCCAGTATATAAAAAGGGCAAATGGGATGACCCAGGTAATTATAGGTCTGTCAGCCTGACACTGAACCTGGGCAAAATAATAGAACACCCGATAAAGGACTCAATTAATAAAGAATTAAAGAAGGGTAATATAATTAATGCCAACCACATGTATTTATGGAAAATAGATCTTGTCAAACAAACTTGATACTCTTTGATGAAATTACAAGTTTGAGTGATAAAGGTAACAGTGCTGATGTAATACACCTAGACTTCTGTAAGGCATTTGTGTTGGTACCACACAACATTTTGATTAAAACCTAGGACAATACAAAATCAATATGGCATACAAATTTATAAAAATCTGGATGACAGGTCTCAAAAATGTAACAGTCAATGACAAATATGACAAACATCACTGAGCATGTATTTTTTCTTGCTGGGTTCTGCAGGGATTGATTCTCAGGCCTGTGCTCTTTAATATTTTTATCAATGACCCAGAAGAAAACATAAAATCATTACTGATCAAGTTGGTTGACAAAGATTGGGGGAGTGATAAATAATGAAGAGGACGGATCCTGGATTGCTTAGTAAACTGGGTACAAGCAAACAATAAGCCTTTCAATAGGGCCAAATGTAAAGTAATACATCTAAGAAAAAAGAATGGGGGGCATACTTACCAGTCGGGAAATTCTATCTGGAAATAGTGACTCTGAAAAAGACTATGAATCTAGGAAAATGCTGGCAGGAGGAGAAAGTGGGCAGGGAAATGAAGAGACATAAAATACGCATTTTCTCTGTCTTTCTCTTTTAGTTTTTTAGTTTTTGTTCAGCATTATTTCAGGAAGCTCTATAGATTAACTGAATGTTTAACAGATACAAATGTCCATAAAGATAAACAAACTAGTAGAATTGTCACGACACACTCAATATTTTTCATGTGAAGTAATTTAATCACAATTAATTTTCTAAGAAGTTTATGAATTTTAGAAAAATTATTATTTTCCATTTTAGTGACAAAGACCTATCTTGTCAATATCTTCTCGCTAAGGCCCTGATTCAGTAAGGCACTTAAGCACATGCCTAAATTTAAACATGTGAGTAGTCACACTGAAATCAATGGGACTATCGCATTGTTAAAGTTACGCATGTGTTTAAGAACCTCTGAATTGTGGCCTAAATTCAGTAGAAGATATAAAACACTCATCTAATGAAATCTGTTGGTTTATGAAGGTATTGTTCAAAATCTTTTTTTTAACATCAGCATTAACATATATTATTTAAATAATTAGCATTGCTTTGATGTCTTATTATGATTTAATGGGGCTACTGTAGTAACTGACTGCTCTCTGGGATTTGTATATAAAATGCACAGTACTCACTTTTAATGCATCTTCTACTGCAGTCCTGCCTTCCCTTCCTAGTAGGACATTATAAGGGTAAAGCCATTTGATTATATGCTGGACTGACATCATAGGGAAGGAATCCTAATTAGAAATAAAAATACAGGAAAGATTAATTCAATTATCCATTAACCTGGAACACTTTATACTGACACAACTGCAAAAGAGGCAAGAGAGACAACAAACAAGGGCACCATTCAGCTTTTGAGACAAAACCAGGGACACTTCATCCATGCTTCCCCAATAGCTGTCTCACCTACCTCCCCACCTCCACTCCCACTAGGTCTCATACTCTTTTCTGATGGTGGAGAGAGGGGTCAATTGTTGAAACTGAAGATTCTAAAGAATCTAGATATGAACTGAAGAATGAGCCACCAGCTGTTGATTTCTAACATCACACAGAGGAGGCAGGGTAGTTTCAAGATATGACAGCTGCTGTCTTTCCTTCTGGTGCTCTGTGCTACTTAACTCCCTTGAGGTCTTGGAAGACATCAGGGAGAAGTAAAGAGTGTTACAGTTGCTTATTGCATATACTGGCCTCCACTGCAGACTGCCAGTGGTCAGAATCTGGTATGTTTTTTAAAAAGTGCTGTAGCCAAGAAATTCAGTACACTTGAACAAGTCTTATCTGCTCACAGACTGTCCTTGTTGTTTCTGCTGCACTATAGGTGTGAATGGTGCTAAAAAGACAAATCTCAGACTGCAAGACTTTATAATCGAGGTTAGACAACATGAGGAGGAGGGTCTAGATGCATCAGTTACATCAATATACACTGTAGAGGTTAGGCATGCATCTTGTAATTGGATCTTAACAGAATTTGACTGGATTTCAACAGAATTGATATAATATAAATATTTACCAGGTTGGGAATGGGGGATTGTTTGTTTTTTTACTTAAGTCATAAATGGTGGGAGGGAAGATAAAAGGTATTTTAGGAAGAGAGCAATGTGGTGAGGCCCCCTAGACAGTGAGGCTGTTTCAAGTATCGGAGGTAACATGAAAGGAGTGAAGTTATGAGTGGGAGAAAACAGGCAAGGATTGCCAAAGACTAGAACATAAAAGAAGGTGTAACAGGAAAAAAAGTCAAAGATGGAGACGAGCGATGCAACGCAGTCTTGACAGCGAGGAGGAGTATGAACTTTATGTGGAAACACAGGAAGCCAGTAGGGCGATTCAAACAAGGTGGGAAACGATTAAAGCATCAAGAAAGAAAGATACATTTTGGCTGCAGCATGTTGAAGGCCGACAGGAGTATAATCAGTTAGAATACAAGCCAACAACAGAACTACCATAGAGAGATCAATAAAAATTACTGGAGATTGATGCCACTAAACTGCAGAAAGACACTTTCCCATAAAAGTAGATCGGAGTGTGAAACTATAAAAAGGACCGAGAAGACTCACATGCAAGGGGAGACTACAATTTTCCTATTTTTAAGATTTATTAAAAGTGAACGCAGTTTAGAAACATTTTAATGCTGAAACCAATGTGACACTTTGCCCCTCCACACTTTTCCTTTATCTTCAATTTTCTATTTCAATCCATTTTCATATGCAAGTCAAGAGATCAGGCCCATTTCTGTCACTTCTGATACCTGCAATCTGCTTTTCTTGAGTGTAGAGACTTAACTTTGTATACAGTGATGGTAGGACTTCTCAAGAAGAGTTACTGGTTACAAAGTGTTAACATTCTTAAATTATAATGTTTTGGGGTCCTTAAGGGTATACTTTATAACCACTTTTCAAAAAGGAACTGAAACTAACAGCAGCCACAACTGTAGTAAAGCAAGATTTTTTATGAGGAAATTCAGCTATGACATTTAAGTTTAGGCAATACTGGCTATTAGGTTACTTGGAACTAAAAAGGCTCTTTTGCCCTCCCTACAAGACATTTATAAATTAAGCCTTATTTTACTGTGATTGCTGCACTTACTTGAACCATTCTGTGTATGGCACACTATAATATAGAATAAATCATGCTTACATATATTTTCTAAATATCTCTGAGCAAAGAAATGCAATGGGCAGTTTCATAGAAGTAATAAATAAATATCTGTATTACAGAAATCTGCAGCATGGTTGAGTCATTCATAGCAATTTATAATAATTAAATATTGATTCCATTACACTGTACAGATTTTACTTCATAATTCAATTACTGGAAATTACTGAATAGTTCAGTTAATACTGTTTAGTGTAGAAATAGGCTACTAAAAATTACTACACTTTACTTCCAATTATTTGCAGAAAAAATAAATTGTATTAGCAGTCTAAAACAATTTGATTACTAAGTGTAAGTAATAACTAATATGTCTCTCTGTTTCTTTTTTTTTTTTTGTACTCAGCAAGCCCATAAATAACTGAGTTATGGTAGCAAAGTAAAAAAGAAATAAAAAGCTGAGCATAGCTATGAATGTCATTGGGGATCACTAGGTATTAGCTACGTATACCCTTCAATGGGAGAAAAAGAAACTCCAGAAAACTAAAATCCCAATCAATGCTCAATTTACCTGCTCTACAGTTGGAATTCCATATAATTAAGTGCTAGATTGTGCAACCCTTACACAGATGAATGAAAAAAAAGTCTACCTACCGTCTCGTAACTGTTGTTCTTTGAGATATGTCCATTCCAAGCAGGTGTGTGCGCTGCATTAACAGTCGTCAGAAATTTTTTCCCCTAGCGGTACTTGTCAGGTCGGCTGCAGAGCCACCTGCAGTTGGGCCTTCATGGCGGTGTATATAGGTCCCTGCCGACCTGCTGCCTCTTCCGTTCCTTCTTGCCAGAGTACTCTGACAGAGCGGCAGGCAGGTGGGTCTTGGAATGGACATGAGCAACACATCTCAAAGAACAACAGTTACAAGGAGGTAGGTAACCATTTTTTCTTCTTCGAGTGCTTGCTCATGTCGATTCCAAGTAGGTGACTCCCAAGCATTTCCTAGGAGAAAGGGTTGGAGCTCAGTAGGTCGCAGACTGCAGCACCGCTCTGCCAAATGTGGCATCATCTCTGGCCTCCTGAATAATGGCGTAGCGCAATGTAAAAGTGTGGACCGATGACCACGTTGCTGCCCTGCAGATGTCTTGAATAGGGACTTGCACCAGGAATGCCACCAAAGATGCAAGCGCTCTTATGGAGTGTGCTGTCAGCGCACGGGCAGGTATCTTTGCCAGGTCATAGCATGCCCTGATGCAGGCCATGATCCATGAAGAGATTCTTTGGGACAATACTGGAAGTCCATTTATCCGCTCCGCAATGAAAGGTTGCACTGATTTCCAAAAAGGCTTTGTTCTTTCAATGTAAAAGTCTAACGCTCACCTGACATCCAGGGAGTGCAGTATTCGCTCCCGGTTGCTAGCGTGTGGCTTAGCAAAGAACACTGGAAGAAATATGTCCTGGATTATGTGGAATTGTGAAACTACCTTTGGGAGAAAAGCTCGGTGTGGCTGCAACTGTACCTTGTCCTTATACAAGACTGTATATGGGGGCTCAGAAGTTAAGGCCTTAAGCTCAGACACCCTCCTGGCTGAAGTTATAGCCACCAAGAACGCTACTTTCCAGGAAAGGTAGAGAAGAGAGCTCAAAGGCAGGACCCATCAGTCTTCAGAGCACCAGGATGAGATCCCGTGGGGGGGATTGGCTGTCTTACTTGAGGGTTCAGTCTAACTAGTCCTTTGAGGAAGCGGCCAACCATTGTGTTGACAAAAACCAACCATCCTTCCAAGGGAGGAGAAAAGCATCTGTAAGCAAGTCCAGGCTGAGATTCAGGAAGGAACAGAACTGCTGACATTTCCTGTTGTGCCTCATTGTGAACAAGTCCATCTGGGGAAATCCCCACTGTTGGAAGATGCTGATCACGACATTCGGTTGAAGCAACCACTTGTGATTGTGAAAGGACCTGCTGAGATGATTGGCCAGGTCATTCTGAGAGCCTGGAAGGTATGATGCCTCTAGATGTATTGATTACGCAATGCAGAAGTCCCACAGTTTGAGGGCTTCCTGGCATAGGGGAGAAGAGAGGGCACCACCCTATCTGTTTATGTAGAATATTGCTCAATGCCCTCCAGATGGGTTTGGAATGCCTGGCAAGCAAGGCGAACCACTCTTAGCTCCCTGACATTGATGTGCAGTGAAAGTTCTGCCTGGGACCAGAGACCTTGACTCCTGAGTCCTCCAAGGTGCGTCCCCCATCCCTTCACCGAAGCATCTGTGACTAGAGACAGTGAGGGCTGGAGCCTGGAGAAGGGTACTTCTGCATACACCGCTTGCCACCACAGGAGCAGGGGTGGCAGGCTTGTAGAAATTTTGCCCAGAACCTGCCCCTGCCCAAACTCCACCCCCCACCTGCCCAAGGCTCTGGAAGGGAGTTTGGGGATGGGAGGGGGTTTGGGGTGAGGGCTGTGGGGTGTGGCTGCAGATAAGGGGTTTGGGGTGTGGGAGGGGCTCAGGGTGAGAGTAGGAGTGTCGGGGGTGAGGGCTCTGTCTGGGGCAGAGGGTTGGAGTGCAGGGGGATGAGGGCTGTGTCTGGGGCTGGAGATGAGGGGTTTGTGGTGTTGGAGAGGCTGAGGGTTGCGGTGCGGGGGGATGGCGGCTGTGTCTGCAGCTGGAGAGGAGGGGTTTGTGGTGTTGGAGGCGGCTCAGGACTGGGGCAGAGGGTTGGAGTGCAGGGAGATGAGGGCTCTGGCTGGGACGGGGGATAAGGTGTTTGGGCTGTTGGAGGGGCTCAGGGCTAGAGTAGAGGGTTGAGGGTGCAGTGGGGAGGTGAAAGCTCTGGCTGGGGGTGTGGGCTCTGGGGTGGGGCAGGGCTGGGGATGAGTTTGGGGTGCAGGCAGTCTGCTCCAGGACAGGGGCCAGAGAGAAGGACTCCCCCCAGCCCTTTCCCTGCCAGCAACAGCGAGCTCTGGGGGAGGAGCCCCCCTTTCTTGCCCCCCCCCCCAGCAGCACACTTACCCCCACCACTGTCACTGCATGTACTCCTAGGGCCCTTCTCAGGTCCAGGAATCTCCTTCACCTCCACCATGGTAGGTGCCGCCTCCTCCCCTACTGTTGCCCCTGACTGTAGCCTCACTGGGGCTGCGGGATGGGGCTGCCTCCTTGCCCTGCATGGGGGCGGAGGGGCCCCCTGTGCTGGTGGAGCGTCCCGACGGAAAAGGGAAGGCTCTGAGGTGGAATGGCAGGCTCAGAGCCAGTGTGCAGTAGCAGTGGAGATGGAGGGGCACTAGGACCCTGCGGCAGCAGTTGCTGCAGGGAGGCAGCATGGAGCTGCGGGGAAGAGGCAGAGGCAGGGATGCTCTGCTCCGGGGCCCGGGGAGGCATGCGGAGGACCGGGGGTAGCAAGAGGGGGTCGGGGGACACTCAGGGGAGGCGCGGGGGGGTGGCAGGTGGGGTCGGGGGGACATCCATTCCCAAATATTGGTGGAGCTGGGCCCCAAATATTGCTGGTGCTAAGGCACCACATGGAGATATAACTCGTCGCCCCTGCACGGGAGGCACTCAATAACTGGAGAAGGAAGAGTAACTATCTTGTCTAGGCGGTCTCGGTTTGGCCTGTATACTGAGGCCAGCCAGGCCTGAAGAGGTCAGAGCCACAGTCTCGTGTGCTGAACCGCATATGTATAAGCAGCCATACAACTGAGCAGCTTCAGGCAATTTTGCACCGTAGCAGCGAGCTGTCGTTGTAAGCCCTCAATGATGGTGCCCCTGGTCAGAAAACGCGATTCCGGAAGGAATGCTTTGGCTTGACCTAAGTCTGGAAGAGCTCCAATTAACCCTATCCTCTGAGTGGGGGTTACAGTGCCGAATCCATTTCGAGACATACCACTCTGGCTCTGAGTCCGACAAGGACTCTGATCTCGGTGACCACAGGGATGCGCAATGGGGTGGTGCCAGGAAGTAGTGTCAAGGGGAGGGCGGCCGGTGCCGCATTATGGCTGGTTTGTCCTTAGAAGGCATAACACTTTTCTGCAGGGCCGGTGCCACCTGAGCTGTCATAGCTACGAGGTCCCTGGCTGCCTCGAACATGTCCGGGGCGGACAGAAGATCCAGATCCTCTACCAGACTCTCCCGCGTGGGGGAGTCCACCAGTACTGGACTCAACGGATCTCTCTGCAAGGCTGGTGCCAGTTTAGCCGGAGCAGGGGCTGAGTGTCCTGGCATGGGATGCACTCCACTAGCACTTTCGCATTCCACGGCTCTAATTGTGAGCGAACGCCCCCTCCTTTTGGCTCTCTTCTGCTTCTTGTGTGGCACCAGCGAGTGCGAGCAGTGCCGGGTAGCCACAGTGGAGGTCTTCGGTGCCAGGAAGTGGCGGTGCCAAGGGTCTCTGGACCCAGAGTCCTTTTTCCGCGCCGCAATCTCTCTCACTGAGGCTGGTGCACTCCGCATCGAAGCACTGGACTTCGGGTCTGATGCAGGCTGTCCCGGCTGGGGATGGAGAACTGACTCCACAAGGAGTAGTTTTAACCTAAAGTCTCTCCTTCTTGGATCTTGGGTGGAAGCCTTTGCAGATCTTGCACCTGTAGGTCTGGAGAGCCTCCCCTAAGCACTTTAACAAGGGTCGTGGGGGTCACCCCTGGGGAAAGGCTTCTGGCAGGACCTGCATGGTTTGAACCCTTGAGACCGAGGCAGGCCGCAGTCCCCAGAAGGGGAAGAACACAGTGGGGGAAACCCTAACAGAAACTTATCTAACCAACTATAAACACTACTTGAAACACTAACTAATACTAAGTTAACTATTTACAGATACAAAGAGAAAGACCACTAGGGGATCGCTTCCCGTATCAAGAGAGAAGCAGCAGCTCCAGTGACCATCATGGGCAGTAAGAAGGAACTTAAGAGGCAGCGGGTCGGCAAGGACCTACATACACTGCCATAAAGGCACGACTCCAGGGGGCTCCACAGCCGACCCGACGGGTACCACTAAGCACACACATCTACTTGGAATCGGCATGAGCAAGCACTAGAAGAAGAACTACTTGTTTAAGTGCTCAACAAGGTGAGTAATGGTTGCATAATCAAGCCCTAAATAAAACAAAATAGATTTTTCACTCGAAATTCTCTAGTTTTTTTGTTTGCACATATCCCCAACATATATGGGCAAAACAGCAATGAACTATCCTGGCACAAGTATATTTTTGTGAAATGCGAACTCAACTCATTTTGTTATTCAATGATGCTCCTTGAATCTGGAGCATTATAAATGGATGTAGTAAAAATCATCCACATGAGCACATTCTAGGTAAAATGTGCTGCTCAGGTGATCAGACATTCACTTAGCATTATTGCATTTAAAAAGCATTTTTTGTAAGGCCACAAAGAGAGCATAATTACAATGGCACAGATGAGATTAGCCTCCTTCTCACTCGAAAAAGCCTTCTGTTTCAGACAGGAATTTTCAGTCTGGGAGTCATGACCCTGTAGGAGCTTGCAAATGTGTTGAAACGGAGCAAGCAACCACCTTGCCTTTCCCATATTGCTAAATGGTCACTGGTCCGAGCCAGATGAGGGGAGGAACATAAGGTCCCAGAAGGGAACAGGGCCACAGCATGGAAAAAGTTGAGAACCTGGTTTAGGAAGCTATAGATATATCAGACACTGGCACACAATGATAACACACTACATTTTTTAATGTAAAATAAAATACTTCCTTCACCCCTCAGGTCAGATAAATAGCTGAGTGGACATTTTATTTCCACTATTTTGGAAGCAGTCTGACATTAATTTAAAAGTCATTTTCACCACAGGGCTAGAAGAATAAAATGATATAATGTATTTAAAAATCCCACATATATTCCTTTCCTAAAGCACACTATAAATTAGTCTAATCACTGTGCTTATCACTTCATAGTTTTTTATGTGGTATCAATAAGTCAGTTTCTCTGAGAGAAATAGTTTCAAATTCCTCCCCCCCAAATAAACACACCTACATCAATTTTAAATCACCTGGCTAATCCACACGCCTAATGAATTAATTGAATCTAATCATTGTTCAATACACCAAGAAGTTCTGCTGAAATCTTTCTTGCTTCATGATTCATACTAATTTATCTCCTGATCTTACATCTGGATCTCTGCAGTCTTTATGGTGCCCACAGAGATCCAATTAAGGATGTGTCCAATGAGATCCAATTCAGAGAAAGATTTTTTTAGTGTTCTTATTAATCTAGTAGTTCCAAAGACACTAATAAGATATGAACCGTTCAAATTATATCTGAGGAAATTCCTCACTTTTAAAATTTCACTTCACAGTTACATGCACATACCAGAATCTGAACTGCAGCTGATAAACTGTCTAAAGGAAAATCTGGAAGTCCTAGCGTAGAAGATTCCTGGGAGCAGAGAGTTGTAGCAAAAGACAAGAGCTGAGAGATTCTGGAAAATAAACAAGAAATTGTAATGTTTTATACATGCAAAACATACTTTAAAACTTTAAGCCCTATGAAGCTCAACACAGCATAAGATGTTGAAGCAACTTCTGAATACAAGTAAATTTTATCTAATAAAGTTCTACAGAATTAAGGACTCACAATATGAAAACTGTAATTATATATGAAAAACTGTTTAAAAATATTCCCATACTTACTAAAAATTCACTTAGTTCTCATCAGTCTCTAGGGTGTGAAAAGCTTCAAGTCTGTTTTGGTAGGTCCTGCGCTTCCAGGCAGATTCTGTGGCGTCAGAAGCTCACTGAGCTGGCTTAGCCTAGCAGCAAGGACCACAGCCTACACCGAGTTACTTTCATCACAGGCCAGTATGGGAGGTGGGAAGGGGGATACCCCACAGTCTCTGCTGCTCCTTTGGGTTTAGATGTTGTTCAGCCCCCTGCCTGGATCGAGGTCTGCTTCCCCTCTCAAGAAGGTCTCTGTAGAGCATGCAAGGGGAAGGGGAACCTGGGCCCACCCTCTACTCCGGGTTCCAGCACAGAGACCCTAATGGTAGCAGCTGTTGGTGGCTTTCCCTTCACCACCAGAGCTGCTTCGACTCCCTGGGCCACTTCCCCGCAACCTCCTTTTCTACTTTCTCCTTTACCTCTGTCCTTCCCAATACTTCCTCTCCTCCAACTCTTTCTCTACCTTGACCCTTCCTCAGGCTTCAGCTATCGCTTCCTCTCCTCCAATTTCCTTCCCCCGGAACTCACTGGAAGGAGAACTTTTAAGCAGTGTAAATGGGACCTTGATTGGTTCCAGCTGTCTCCATTAGCCGAATGGCCTTAATTGAGCCTTTGCTGGTTAATTGTAATCAGGTGCCTGCATTAGCCTAACGGCCTTAACTAATCCTTAGACAGGTTAAATGGCATTGGGTGTCTTGATTGGCCTGAAGTAGCCTTTGTTTGGCTATCCAGGAAACAGGGACCTGCTAATCCTGAAGCTGATATATTTACCTTCCACTACTCTTTTATAGCCTTCTGGTCTGAGTCCACCACAAGGGATACAGCACACAAATTGCAAACAATCCTGACAGGACAGAACATTCAGCCTCTCAACACTACTTTTTTGTAATTATGAAAATTTACCTCTGTGCAGAAACATTTGATCCAACCAAGTATAATAGCTTAAGATGGTCCTGAAAATAGAACATAGCATCACATATCAGATTAATTTCTGGGTTATACCATGGATAACAGTGCATATTGTGCGAGATATTTTCTATTTCTCATCTGATTAGACACCGAGCCTTTTGAAGCAAAGAGCCTGGTCTTGGCACACAGAATTAATTTTCTAAAAGAAAAAAAAGTTAGCATATCTTTGTTTTAGGATTATATTGTTTTATTGAAATTAATTTTAGCTACAAAATAAAAACATCAGAACAGCCATAGTGGGTCAGACCAATGGTCCATCTATCCCAGTATCCTGTCTTCCGACAGTGGCCAGTGCCAGGTGCTTCAGAGGGAATGAACAGAACAGGTGATCCATCCCCTGTTGGCAAACAGAGGCTAGGGACACTTCAGAGTATGGTTTTCAGTCCTGTCTAATAGCCACTGATGGACCTATCCTCCATGAATTTATCTCTTGGAGATTATCTCTTTCTTTTCAGTAATTAACTGGGTATCAATATGACCCGCGCCCAAAAAAGGGTCAAAATATTTTATTCATGTTCAAGGATTAATTTTTGAATGTATAATAGGTAAAATACAAGATTAAAGTATCAATTAGTCCTGCTCTGTAAACAAGCTTTAACTGATCTACAATGGCACTTACCTTAAAGGGTAGATGATAAACATCTCTTGCTTGAAATCTAGAACGAAGAGGAGGGTCCAATGGATTACCAGAATATCTAGGTACCGGCAGGCCCAGAGCTATCACACGAAAATCTTCACTTACTCGAACAATCTTCCATGCATCTAACTCAGTTTTAGTATGTTCCTGGATCAATTAAAATAAGGTAATAATTGGAATGCAATGACATCTTTTAGTGAGGGCCCTGATGCCTGAGCTACAGACTGAAGACCTATAGGGGAGGGATCAAAAGAGTGGTCTTCCAGTTAAATTTGGTCTTCTGCTTCCCTCGTCTTTAACACAGAGGGGCCAGGATGAAATGTTCTATCTTGATTTAAGGTATTCAATTTGTAGATCATACATCGAGGCCTTCTAAGGTAAGGGCGGCTGAAATATGCTTCACTGAGTTCAGCCTTCAGGCAAGCTAATGATGGATTTCCACAGATGCTCAACGTTTGGAAACTATGAATTAGAGTTACAAGTATCTTTCTCTTTATAAAGAAGAGAAAAAACAATGAAACTGTGTTATGTATTTTTTTCCACAGAATTAAAAGTCTAACTTTAGCAAGTTTGGTTTTTTTAACTATAATGAAGGGATGCTCCTCTGAATAAGAGAACATTTTGTTTGTATATAATATGCTGTACCACAAGTAATAACAATACAGGTTTATCACTGTACTCTTTTCTGAAGAGTACATCTATTTCATATTGAAAACTTCAATCACGTTGCCAGGAAAAGACTCATTGCAGACAAAGAAGACAGTTCTGCAGTCTTCCCACATTACAATCAAGTCTCGCTTGAAATTATACATGACTACTTCGTGCAGACCCAATGCAAGAATAATGATTCACATAGAAGAACAGAAAATGAGCCATAAATTATGTAATACAATATTCCCAAACAAAAAAACAACAATATTAGATTTAGTATCACTATAGGAGATTTATTCAAATCAGATAACATTAGCAGTATACCTAAGGCACCAATTTAGAGCCATTTTATCATTAGCAAGGTACAAAAAAATGTACTGCACAATCTCAATCAATTCCTATTTGAATTTAAAGTCAGTTTTCATGTCTCCTCCTTAAATGTAGCTATGATAAAAAACCACATTTTGTACTTCAGTATGTTAATTACATTTTCATAAGTTACCTCTCCTAACCGAAACAGACTGGAATGGATCAGAAATACTCTAAAAGCAAAAAGAGGCATAACCACCAATCATAATGTCTCAGAAATGAGTTACAGTATTTAATGGCTCAGTGGGCAATGTTGTGCAATAATATGTAGGATCATGGGTGTATTTAAGTTGGAGTAGGGCACAAAAATTTTGGACAAAGTTTATTTGTTGAAAAATGCAGTTTTAGGTCTACTGAAACTATTCATGAATTCAACACAAATCTGCCAAATAGTTTCTGACAAAATATTTTCAAGGTAGCTTCATGAAGTGGAAAGAGAAGGAGCTTGGGCTGGTGGCCTCTTTATGCCTTATTGCCTCGGTGTTAGAGCAGTTACCTGGAATGCTGGAGACCGGATTCAAGTCCCTGCTAAGCATGTTTTAGAATCTCCCCTGTCCCTGATGAGTACCCTAACCATATATGGTATTCTGGAATCGGCCTCACTCAGTCTCTCCTATTGAAGCTGTTCCACTTTGTATAAATAGTCATTGGAGCAGGGACTTGAACCCAGAACTCCCCCTCCCAGGTGAGTCCCCTAATCACCATTCTCTCTCTCTCTTGCCTAATGAATATTTAATTATTTAATACAAAGTGAAACAACTTCAACAGAAGAAGCTGGGCGAGACTCACCCTGGAATACCCTATAGTCTGGTGGTTAGGACACACATCTGCAAAGTGAAAGGACCCAAGTTAAAGTTGTTACTCTGAATCAGACAGAATGGGGACTTGAACCTAGAATTCCCACATCCCAGGTGAGAGCTCTAACCATAGGACTATATAGTATCAGGGGCAAAGGACACCATCTCGTCATCCTGTGGTGGTTTTGTGAACAGTGTTCCAAATTGCCTTTACTTTTATTTAAAAAAGCCGTTAAAAACACCCCAAATCCAAATTAAACATTTTGGTCCAACAGAAAATTTTGCTAGACCTGAAACAATTTTTTTTCCTGTTTTGCTGAAGGGACTAAAAATTTTTTGTTTCAGATTGATCCGAAACAATTTGTTTCAACTTTTTGGTTTGTCCAGAGAACTGAAAAATCAATTATTCACAGTGCTCTATTTGCAATTTTCCTTCCTATGACTTGTGTAGGCTGAGCCACATGGGGCTCCATCTCAGCCCAGCACTGAGTTTTATGGGAAGTTTAGTGAAGGTTAGAAAAAGGACATTTAAAGTCACTTTTTCAAATTAATCTGAAGTTAGAAAAGTTAACTTGTATTAGCTCATAATAATTGATATCCCACACTAAGACAGGATTAGAAAAAGGAACAATTGAAATGCTGAGGGGAAAAGAAACAACAGAATACTTACCCAGTTCAGCCATGCTATAGGGCCAGGAAGCAATGAAGAACTGAGAAGCTGATGAACTATACACACTACTTAAGAGACTTGAAATGAAGGATGGTATTTTTCCCCCACTTTGCTTAAAGCAAGCTTAAGCTATTTCTCGTTTGCTGGGTTTTTTGAACCTGGTAGAAGTTTCTAACTCCCTGTACCTAATGCCTGGTGGAAACACGCTTCGTACAGTGGTAAGTGTGCCTTTAACTGAGAAGCTACTATGTTTTGTTTGCATTCCCTTCGTCAGCTTTTCTGTCCCCTGAAGTTACAGACTGGCCACGTTCACACAGAGATGTTTCAGAAATATTGCAGAGTCTAACAAAGTCTAACATTATTTAAAAATGATTATCAACTGACAAGCTACTGCTCATTTGGCAGATTGGGGTAGACATAATAGGAAGAAATATGGATAGGTACGAGTCAGGTGGATGGTAAGAAACTGACAGGGTATGGGACAGGAAACCATGGAGCATGTAGGTAGAGTACAGAGGACTGACAAACACCCTGCTCAAACTTAATTTTGCCTCATAAAACTTGAAAAAATGTACCAGAGGTCAAAGTCATCAGTTGGAAATTATAAAATCCCATTTCCTATTCAAGGGATCAATTTCCAATATCTCGCTGTAATTTATATTGGCCTTTTGCACATATTTTTGCAAATTATAGGATGAGTGAAGGCAGAGGTGAAAGTAACTTAAAGGACGTACCAGTACGCAGGGCAGCCAGGGTCCTGGGCAAGGTGGGGGCAGGGTGGGGCCTTGGGTGGAAGGGGCAGGGCTGGGGCCAGACTCCCCCGCCATCCCTTCAGTGCTGCCTGGGGCTCCAGCAGCAATTTAAAGGGCCCGGGGAACACTGGCCAGAGTCCCAATCCCTTTTAAATCACCAGACCCCGGGGCAGATGCTCCTTTTGTGTGCCACCCCCCCCCCCCCCCATCAGCAGCCCTGCCAGTACAGCGCTTAAAGCCCTGGTGCAGCAGTGCTTTAACATCGGCTGCGTACTGGCCCATATTGGCCACCACTTTCTTACTGGTACTACTTTCACCTCTGAGTGAAGGATTATATGGCAGCAAGGAATGCATTGCATCCTTTAATCGTTCGTTTTCAGACATTCTACAATTTTTAGAGGGCTTTCTAAAGAGAGTAATGTTATTTTGAAGTGTTAGCTCAACTCCACTGGAACACTTCCAACCTCAACTTTTTTTCACAAATGTTTTTCTTTGTGAATCAGAATAGTATGTATTTGTTAGAAGTAAGTAGAATTTACTTCAAAATTAGTAGCCAGTCTCTATGAGAACAAAGAACATTCAGGAGACATTTTTTAAAAAATTATTTTTAAATGACCGAATGGCTGATTTCACCCATGACCTTCACTTAGCCAGCTATCATCTTGAGTCACATCCTCACACAGGTGAAGACACATCCAAGGGATGTACCCTGTTTATCTCAGGACATCTCTGACATAGTTAATAGGGTCACTTCCCTGTCAAAAACAGATAAAAATTCAAAACAACATAATGCTTTCCTGTACCTGTAGCAGTTTGTCATAACGTTCTGCAGACATAAGAAAGCGCCCATCTTCAAGCTGCATTTCTCTGTTTTCCAACAAATTGTTTAACACAGGCAAGACATTCCGCTCTGCCTTCTCCAAACCCTCCAACACAAGGATTCTGCCTTCTGTAGCTGCACGGACTGCACACTGTTTCAACAAAAACAACAACATTAAGAGACATATACAGCATAATATAGCACATGAAATCCAACTGAAAATGAAGGGCTTAATCCTGCACACATTGATGCCTAAGTAATCTGAGTCAATGGGACTGAGCATGGTAGTAAGTACTCTTTCCATTAGTAGCATTTGGAGGATCTTACCCTTACATAACAATTAAATTGAACACATTTTTCTGTAGAAACAATTAGTTACCGTAGGTGTTTATCTAAAAAACTATTTAATCCAGGCATCAAAACAGCATCAAAACAAACACTGGAAATTTTTTGTGCAATTTTTTTTGTTAAAAATCTGATAATATTTCAAGCACAAAATGTAAAACTAAATATTAAAAGTTAAAACAATAAAAACTCCAAATATGTTCAACTTGTTCCATGGTCACAAAGCATTCCTTTACTGAATCAAAGTGAAGAGAAGACACAATTCTGACACTCACATTGGGTGGTACCTCACTGAATGCAAGTAGTCCCATTGAAATCAGTGTAGTAAGTGACTACTTTGTATGCATAAGGGTGGTAGGTTCAGGCCCTTAAAGCACATAAGCAGCAATCAAGCACACTGCAACAAGACTCAAACCACCTCTTACTGTAATGCTGACAGACCCCGGTCGTTGTCGGGCGGGATCAAACCTGGGACCTCTGAAGTATGAGCCTCTACTGCATAAACTAAAAGCCACATGGCTCTTAGCTAAGGCTATAACAGACTCATTAATCTCTAGCTAGGTTAGTTGCCCCTAGAGTGGGACAGAGCACCACACCTAGCAGGCCTGTCTACTGAGCTGGGCAGCGAAATGTTGCATCAATTAAATATATCTTAAGCAACTACACAAGGGACCAACCAAATCAGTTGCTTAAAGATATTTTGAGTGCCTTTGTATCAGTGTAGTAAGATGTAAAATCCTTTTGCTGGCATGTATTTTTTAAATATACATAGTGAATATTACATATTAGGTATTCAGACGTGCCAATGAATATTTACTTCTTTTGATTTATGCTTTTTGATTTTTTTCCCCTATATTTTTCATTTACTTTTAGCACACACAACAATTCTGGAACAAAGGTATTTAAAAGTAAAAAAAATTTAGAAAACTTCAATATTATGTTTACAATAATCCTACAAAAGTTTACAAACTGAATCACCAGTTTTATGACTGTGTAACTACATCACTACTCTGCTGCTCCAGTTTTACACCAACGTGACTCCATTAAAACCAAAGGTTCTTTGTTTATCCCATGGTAAAACTGAAGTAATGCCGTGATGAATCAAGCCCAATATTATTTTAAAACGATGACAAGTTACTTTAAAAAAAACTGTTAGTTAACTGAAATAGGCTGCTACTAAATGTAGAGCAAAATTATATTCAAAACATTTGGGGATATTTTGGAGCTCATTCTGAAACAGAAGGCTGCCTCAAAATGATGTTCTCTTATCTAGATTTCATCATATTTTAGTTTGGGGGATTTTTTATCTTTGGGTGTTGATTTATAGTACATAATTTGAGCCAATGGTCAAAACTGACCCTTAGTGCCAGTAATTATATGCAACCTCCTCATTGCCCATCATCTTAGTCCCTATAAACTTACAGTACTTCATACCCAAATATTCACAATTACCATCCTATAGAAGATTCCTGAATCCTAATACTAGACTATTTACAAATAACTGATTTACACAATGGGGTGGCATATCACACATGTTTAGAAAGTAGCAACAGGGCTTGATTTAGGCATAGGCAGCCTCATAAGGCACTACATCAAAGAGTTTTACACCAATGTAACTCCATTCAAACACCTATATTAAGGCACTTAGCAGAAGTTTTCTTAAAGCACCTTTACTTAAGGACATAGCTGCAAAGGAAAAATGACCAAAGTCCCTTCCTAGCATGTCTCTTCTAAGCACCTACAGGAGCACCTCATGTCCTCCTAGCATCGAGCCCTTTGTTAAATAAGAGAGGGAAATAAAAGGAGCGCAAAGCAAGGGCTGGGAGCTGGAGTGAGAGGAAGAGGATAGCAGGCAAAGTGAACAGGGAGAAAAGGGAGAGGGAGGAACGGGAAGAGAATGAAGGGAAGGAGAAAGGAAAAGGGAGGAAATAAGGAAACAACTAGGAGGAAAAGTAGGGAAAATGTAAAATCAGAAGAGTTTGCAGCTGGAAGAAAGGGAGGGAGACCAAGAACTGGGTCAGGAAGACTCAGATGAAGAGAACTAGCAAAAAGGCATTCGGAGGAAGAAGCGCAAAGAACAAAAATAAGAATGAAAAATGGAAAGCAAAACTCAGAAAAACAGATAATTGAGATGAAAAGGAAAAAAGAACAAAAAAAGATAAGGCAGGGAGAGAGAATGGACCAAAACCAAGTGAGATGCAACCACACACCGGTGTGTAGCACTGTGGATATGATGAGAATCAAATGCAGGTCCCTCACAAGAGGCAGACGGAATTCCAACCTGAGAAGACTGTGAACCGCTTACCTTAGTTCTGTTTATGGACAGCAGAGATACAGCACAAGCAGCAGCAGTGCAAGTTTCTCATATCACTAGTAAGATATCATGTGTCATAAATATAAAGGGAAGGGTAATCACCTTTCTGTATACAGTGCTATAAAATCCCTCCTGGCCAGAGGCAAAACCCTTTCACCTGTAAAAGGTTAAGAAGCTAAGCTGGCACCTGACCCAAAATGACCAATGAGGGGACAAGATACTTTCAAATCTGGAGGGGGGGGAACAAAGGGCTCATCTGTCTGTGTGATGCTTTTGCCGGGAACAGATCAGGAATGTAAGCCTTACAACTCCTGTAAAGTAATCTAGCTAGAAAATGTGTTAGATTTTCTTTTGTTTAATGGCTTGTAAAATAAGCTGTGCTGGAGGGAATGTATATTCCTGTTTTTGTGCCGTTTTGTAATTTAAGGTTTTGCCTAGAGGGATTCTCTATGTTTTGAATCTGATTACCCTGTAAGGTATTTACCATCCTGATTTTACAGAGGTGATTCTTTTACCTTTTCTTCAATTAAAATTCTTCTTTTAAGAACCTGATTGATTTTTCATTGTTCTTAAGATCCAAGGGTTTGGGTCTGTGTTCATCTGTACCAATTGGTGAGGATATTTTGGGGGAAGACATCTCCAAGTGGTCTCCTCCCTGTTCTTTGTTTAAAACGCTTGGTGGTGGCAGCATACTGTTCAAGGCCAAGGCAAAGTTTGTACCTTGGGGAAGTTTTTAACCTAAGATTGTAAGAATAAGCTTAGGGGGTCTTTCATGCAGGTCCCCACATCTGTACCCTAGAGTTCAGAGTGGGGAAGGAACCTTGACAGCATGTCTAAAACCTGTTTTGGCAGAGGCACTTCTAAAGACAGTGTGGAAGATCATTTCTGTTTAAATCCTTGGCTTTTCTGGTAAGATTGCAAATAGTTGAGTCAATTGTGACAGTAATTTTGTGATATGTGTCCACTAGCAAACGGATGGAGACCACCGGCTCATTTCACAAAGGTTAAAGAATCATCAGAAGCTCAGAACTCCTAAATACTATCCTCTATAAACTGGATTCAAGCCAGCGACTCAGAAGAGAAAGGCAAACTGAATATCCTGGGACCTGCCTCCAAATCAAGCCCCCTTCTCTTGCACCTGCAAATAAATTCTACAGAAACTTCTGATTGAATATCTAGCTTCAAAATAAACATCTGAGGAATCTGGAATGCAATGAGCAAATAACAAGCAGGCCTCGTGTTATTTTCCCTTAAAATGAATCACTGGGTGGACATAAATTAATTGCTTCCAAAAGCAAAAGATTTCTAAATTAGTTTTATTCTGTTGACTCAGAGCAAAAAGTATGTTTTTAAAACAACACCCCGGTCATACCACTATTTCAAACACATAGCATAAAATGTCCTATCTCCTACCCTCCATCCCCAACTATACAATTCTTGTATCAAAGGAAAACTCCTTTGATATTCTTGTTTAGGGAGATCATCGATCAAGTCAATAATATGCTCCAACTGACTTAATAGAAAACTTTAGTCTCTAAAGTCGTCAATCCAAGAGCTTGCATGAGCAAACACTCCTACTTTGTGTAAATAGGGGGTGTGGAGAAACCCAGAATAAACTTCAACAAACTACTAATTTTCCAGTTTACAAGGATTTGCATACTATAAAGCTATAAAGACTTTATGAGTGAGTTTACTAGCCAGGGGAAAATACACAAACTGCTCATTATAGTTTCAAAATATTTTGCGTATCCATAGTATCTTTTTGCCTTAGTTGAGACACACATACTATGGATGTAGATTTGCAGAATTCATATCCTACCAATATCAGTGCAAATTCACTGTGAGGGTTCAAACATGAAGGAAATCTATGCTTTTTCTTGCATGTTATGAGCAGGTGTATGACAGAATCACTAATTTGGAGGAATGAGCAGGCTACCAATTAATAATATGATCAGAATTTTAATCCATAAGGAACATATTTTTCTACATTAACTTTTTTTTTTAGTTGAAAATGAGTCTGAAGGACCAAATTTTAACAATTAATTAAAACTCTGTTTATAACCCGTTCTCCTGGACATGACAAATTATTTAAGATTTTGCCTTAAAAACACATTTCTCAGTATATGTTATCTTTCCAAATATTATTGCTATATCTTCTTTTGCTTATAATTTATTATAATTTTATTTATTTTTAAATGCTTCTGTCTATAGCCAATTTCTTTCACCTTCCATGAAAATTATTTATAATGCACCCATCACCATAATATGTAGGTATGAATTTTATCGCTATGATATTCATCCAAGTATGCTCTCTATGGATTTCTACAGTACAGCTATGAAGTATTAGAAATCACTCTCCAAAATCCTATGAAATATGCACACAGCATTTATCTACCTCTAGAGAACTCACGGAAAGTAGTATTAACATTATATCCAATGAAGGTTGCTCCTGAAAGCAAAACAGCTATAGATCTTCCTTTGGAAAAACATAT